CACATGCATGGGCTCAGATGTGTGTAAACACACACACACACACACACACACACACACACACACACACACACACACATACACATATATTCATATGAATATATCCAATTTCAGAATCAAACAAGTATGAGAGCACTCTCATAATAACGTAACACTATCAGAGACTGGATATATCCCCCCATCTACTAAACTAAAGCAAATAAAGAGAGTAGGCCTGTTATACTGAGTGATATATATTATACACACTGCTCTGCTTTCTGCACGGACCTCACAGCTGTTCTCTCTGTAATCATCGCGTTGCGATGAAAGCAGTTAATAAAATAATATCCAGGGGATGCATGCAGAGCTGTCATTGGCTGAGATAAGTCTGGCCGTGCGTCACGACTCTTTGAAACATCTCTGTTGCCGGAAATGCATCCGCGGAGGAGCCGTGGAGGAACCATCAGTGTATCCTCGATTATTGCTCCTCCAGAGAGCCTCCTCGATGCTCGATCCTCGATCCTCGATCCTCAAAGTGCATTTAGAGAAATTAGATGTCCTTTAACATGAAATCCATTTCCGTGTCACTACCGGAGGACCGGGGAGTCGAGGAGGGGAAATTTGAGAATTCAGAAGCCTTCTTGGTGTTTGTGTTTTTACTTGGTTTCCTTTTTCAGTTTCAATTTGATCCATTGGGTCTCACACCTACTGTGTTTTGATATCCAGTCAACTTCACTCTTAGTCGTTGGTCATTTCTGGGATTTGTGCATTTTGTTCAGACGGAAAATACTTTGTTCTTCTGTCTGTACATGAATGAAGAAAGTTTATATTTTAGGAGGGATAGCTGAGTTACTTTTATATGATTTTACTTGTTTATTATCATGTATTTAGAGTAATTTTATCCTGTAGCTTTCATGTTCCATTATGTATAGGAGGCAGTGTTTCCCCTATCATTGTCTTGGAGGGGTGCTGCGCCCCGCCAACGGAGCCCCGCGCCCCCCCTTTGGTACATATCCTCTTTGAAAAATCCTACCATGATAATAGTATGTTTTTCAATGTAAAGGAGATGAATGACACAAATACAATCATTGCCTCCAATATCAGTTAAAATGATCTCAATAAGTTATTGTTTTCCACATTTTGCAGCCCTGGGTTTTAGACTCACTCAAAGGCAAAATATGTGCCAGTTGGTTTTTTGTGACATCAGGAGTTAGTGCCAGTTGTCATCAGTATGATTTCAGTTTCGTTTTTTATAGTTGGCTTGGTGGTGTGCTGCTGTTGTTTAGAGTTTTCCCTCCGGCTGCTGCAGCCTGGTCGGTAATCCTTTGCGAATATTTGCCCTCTTGTTTCTGCAGCCTTTGAGTATGGCCCCTTGCTACAGATAAATGAGGAGGCCGCGCTGGCAGCGGCCCTGAATGACTACCTCACCTCACGCAGCTACCTGGCGGGGTTCTGCCCCTCCCAGGCCGACCAGAAAGCCTTTAATCTCCTCCACAGGCCCCCAGACCCGCACCATGTCCACGCTCTGCGCTGGTACAGACACATAGCAGCCCTGCAGCTGGACCTCCTTCCTGAGAGCAGCAGTGAGTAGAGAGGCATGATCCAGCTTAGACGTGGCCCCTGAAGTAGCCTGAGGTCCCCAAGGCAGGGAAGTCTCACACCTTAGTAAAAGCCCTGAAAACGTGCATGACCCCAGCAACAGTTTGCATTTCCAGTTTTGCACTCCTCACAGTAGCATCCAGCATGTCGTGCAGTGTTTCCTTTGGTGCCGTTTCTATAGGCTATATAAAAAATGACATCATCAAGGCATGTTGATTTATATTTTATTAAAAAGTAGGCTATTTCAAGTTTTTAATAAGTACACTCAATAGAATCAAAAACTGAATTAAAGAGGACATATTATGTTAATCTTCAGGTTTATATTTGTGCCTCTACTGTGACATGTTTCCATGCTTTAATGTTCAAAAAGCTCTTACTGTTTCTCACACTGCCTGTGCTGCAGCACCTCTTTTCACCCTCTGTCTGAAACCAGAGCCCAGTCTGCTCTGATTGGTTAGCTGGCCGGCTCTGTTGTGATTGGTCAACCACTTAGAGATGTCCCGCTCCTTAGTCAATCAAGTACAATGTGTTGGATCGCTAGCCAATAGAAGCGCAAGTGTTACATAATGATGTCACTATGTTCCTGAAGTAAACAAAGGAGTCCAATGGAGGCGTTTCAGGTAGGGGGGGGGAGTGGTCGTAAAGAAACTCTCCCTGGATTGTAACTTTTGACGACCATTTACATGCACAGAAACCTATAACACACTATAGGAAAGGGGAAACCACAAAAGCATAATAGGGCCTGCCTAACGGACAGAGCCTGTAGCTGCGTGCAGGTGAGAGTTAGTCTATCATTGTTCAAACAAAACGTCAGCAGCTGGAACAATCCTCTCTCATGTGCCTACAGACACCTACTCAAAGGTGATCTGACACAGAAGTGAGACATTTACAGTGTATTAGATAACATTTATCTCAGGGTGGCGTGTTTTTTAAAAACATTAGATGTGTGCTGTTTCCTGCTGGCTGACTCGGCATGCTCTCTGTGGCTTTGACAGCTTTTTCTTCTTCTAGTTAGAGCAACTTTTACAAATACAATCATTGCCTCATATATATGGCTGCATTGCTCTGGGGAAAAGATAATCCTTCACTTTTGGGTTTAACTCCTCCATTTTGCCGCCCTTTTGCTGTATTTCTCAACAACGTTTTTTTAACGTTTCTGGAGCAAATTGTCATTCAAGATCATCCTTGCAAAATGTCTGTTATCTAATTTTATTTTTGCTTGTTCCTCCAGCTGTCACTTTGTGTGCATCTATTCTTAGAGTGTGTTCTCTTCTGAATTGCTTTCACTCTCTGTCTAAGCCTTTAATTAGTCATGCTAGATGGAGAAGATGCATTTAGTGTGTTCGAAGGGTATCCTTTCCATTTCAGTTTCACTCTTACTCTTAGTCCACTTCTAAAATGGTGCTGTTTGTAGATGAAGAAGCACATTAGCATCATGATGAAAGAATTGCACTTGATGAGGGAACACATATTCATCACTACAGTAGAAGAAGTCTTTAATGCTTTACATCTGCTGCACAATCATTTCAAGATCGTTTTACATTCAGAATAGTTTATAGATTCATGCAGGTAAAACACAATTTAATCACAGTCATGACATTTGAATTTGGGAAAAACTTGTTGCAAAGTTATCAAGCAAATCTTTTTAATTGACTATGTTTGCTCTGTGTGTCTGGCTTAAATTATTATCGGATGTATTTTTTAAGGACAAATACATATTTTGTTTGCATTTTGCCATTTCTAATAATTGTTTCTTTCTTGATTTCAGCGAAAGGAAAGCGGGTTCAGCCCCCTTGGTCTCCACCAGCAGGAACACATGTCCCCCATCTGAGGCTCTACAACAGCCTGACCAGAGCAAAGGTGTGGGGGGGGGGCAAACATCAAAAAGGACTGTCCTTGGGTTATTTGTGAAAAGACATATGTGTGATGGAGATTTACAAAGTGAAACTGTCTGTGTATAAACGGAAAAATAAAGATCCTTATAGGGTTATAAGGAGCATGTACTGTATGTATGACAAGAAACTGCCTTGCATTTTGTTTGAGTCCATCAAAAATACTCACATAACTGCAAGTTGTGTGTTTAAAAAAATGAATCTTCTTGTTTGTAGCCTACATTTCATTTTATACTCCGTACGTTTGCTTTCCTTTTATAATGTGTGATGTCTTTGTTGTAAAAAGTATTCATGAAACACTCAACGAAAATGATTAGCAGCTAAATATATAATACAAAATCGATTTATGTAAGACAGCGGAGAAACTTTAAAGTAGTTATTAGTAAAAAGTCATTGAAATACAATCATGAAAAATCTTAAAACGGTCAAACCACCACAGGCTATAAGAACGGAGCTAATCAGATTGTTACCTGAGGATGTGTTTAGATCACATCCAGTTTATTCTTTGTTTTTCCATCATCTCACTAACTTTATGTTGTAGGAGCCGTTTGTCCCCCAGCGCGGGAACAAGGTCACATGGTACAGCTGCGGGCCAACAGTGTACGATGCCTCACACATGGGACACGCCAGGTAAACACATCACAGGGGAAAACGTTCAAAATGACTCTCATTCGGCTAAGGTTTTTGTAGTGTAACAATATTTGACTTTCTAATCCGTCTCTCTGTACAGATCCTACATATCATTTGATATTCTGCGAAGGATACTGAAGGACTACTTTAAGTACGACGTCCTCTACTGCATGAACATCACAGACATAGATGACAAAGTGAGTGTGAAGTATAAAAGCTTGCTGGTTTTATTTAGTATTTTTTATTAAAATAATTGATTTCATTTTTATAGGTCTGGCCAAATATATAAAATGTTCTTCTTGGGTGTTTGCAGTTTTAACTTCTAAAATACGATAAATAGTTTCACATTCTTTGCTCTTTAAATAAAACAAATAGTGGTTTTCGGTGTTTTAAAATGTGAATGCCAAAGATGCAACTTGCACACTTTTATAATATATGTATATATTAGCCTTTGTTTGTACATCACAGTGTAGTCTAATATATTCTTAACAATTTTAACTGTGACCTCATCTAAAAACAATATATCTATTTTGAAGGATCTGCATATAACATCATGGCATCTGTATTGTAGATGAGTGTTAGTATTGAAGTATTAAATCTGGATGTGTCACTATCGATATAACTACAGTAGGTGAAAACAACATTTGTATTGGGTAGTAATTATGTACTATGTATCATCATGGTGATTCATTAAAAATGTACTTTTAATGAAACAGCTCAATGTCTACTATTGCACTGTCATACAGGTTTTCCTAAGTCCATGATGAGTAGGTTGTAGAGTCTCGATGTTGACCATTGTTGGCTCTGTCTCTCTCAGATCATTAAGAGGGCCCGGCAGAACCACCTGCTGGAGCAGTACATGGAGAAGCAGCCGCACGCCGCTCAGATCCTGCAGGACGTCCTGAGCGCCAGAGGGGTGAGAACACGCTCTCTGGGAGCGCTGATACAACAAGACTCTTTGCTCTTTGCTTTAGGGATCAAGCACAAATCACATCACTGAAGATTATTATGAATCACTAATCATGTTTGGCAACTAAAACGTTCTGGTGCACTTGAACGATTAAGTGACACAAACTGCATTCACTTCCATACTGTTGTTGGTTGACTCATAATTACTAATTTAATCATATATTCAAATCTAATCAATTTTAATTAGAAGAAAGTGACCACACAATGCTTTGCTCAAAGGTTTCACTAAACAAACAAAGTGTAATTACAAACCTCTTTGCTGCCGCCGGAGCTAAGCACTGTTGACTTCCTGTCAATTTCCCAACAGCGTAGTAGTAGTAGTAAAGAATATCAGATCAACTGTTTGGGAAGCAGAGACTGGTTCAAACAAATGGCTGCAATTGGTCAGACTTGATTTGATCCACCAGAGACATTACAGATTACTAATTACATTAATATCTTTAACTCTTGAAGCCTAAAATGTGCAAATCTATGATTTTACAATTCTACCTATAAAGTGTAGATGACCTGTGGGCGTCATTGTTTTGACCTAACTCTTTATGTGTGCTCATTTTCAGCCCTTTCAGGCTAACTTGGCTCTGACCACAGACCCCGATAAGAAGCAGATGCTGGAGAGGCTGGACGCTGCTGTCGCGGCCGCTCTGCAGCCCCTGCAGGCGGCCATGGAGGGCAAAGCAGCCCAGGAGGTCGTACAGCCCCTGGCAGAGGTAAGGCTGAGGAGTCTGCTCACTGATGGCACTTACTGTAAATCCACATGTGATTTACTTTACTTGAGAGACAGAGAACGTGAAACGTTTCTTATTTGCTTATCTGAACAATGTATATTGGCCAGGCTATCTTGTCTTCTAACTGAAGAAAATAAAAAGTATCTCATTTGATATTTCATCCTCATGTAATTTGCTTTCAATTTAATCATTTATACTCCCTCTTTAATGGCGTGAAAGCAAGGTCAGGAAAAAAATCAACAAAAAAAATGGTACTACTAGATACTGTATTAAATAAGAGAAAAACTAAATAAAAAACACTTATTAATAGTTAATATAAAAACACTAATGTCCACACTTTAAATCGTTCTTTCTTTCTTTCTTCCTAGGTGCTGCTGCAGAACTCCAAGGACTTGCTCTCTGATTGGCTGGATACGCAGTTTGGAAGTCAAGTCACAGAGAATTCCATCTTCTCCATTCTGCCTAACTATTGGGAGGGAGATTACCATAAAGACATGGAAGCCCTGAACGTAAGTAGAAGCAAAGAAATGTCCAAATAGTGGAATATTTATGGCCATGTAGTATGTATTTGTGTTATATTGTGGTTATTGTGCATTAATCGTGTGTGACCCTCAGGTTCTTCCTCCAGACGTTCTGACTCGAGTCAGTGAATACGTGCCTGAGATCGTGGACTTTGTGAAAAAGGTGGTCTCAAACGGTTACGGGTGAGGAAGAAACATGTGTTTACAATTCATATCACACCCGCATGGTCAGTTATTAATGGATTAGTTACATTTATTTGGCTTTCTGATGTTTACAGGTATGAATCGAACGGTTCTGTGTACTTTAACACCTCCAAGTTTGATGGCTGTCCGCACCACTCGTATGCAAAACTGGTGCCAGAGGCTGTCGGAGATCAGAAAGCTTTGCAGGAGGGAGAAGGTACATTCTCTCACAGTTCAGCTACCAGTACTGGCTTTGTGATTATAGCGGCTTTCAATCACTCTATTGCAGTGTTACTCAAAGTGTGGTGGTCCGTGGACCACTGGTGGTCCGTGAGCGCCCCCTAGTGGTCCTTGAGTATATTGGTACAATTTCACCTTTGAAATAAATAAATAAATTTAAAGGGCCCATGTCATGGCCATTTCTACTGATAATAATTCCATTGTTGAGGTATACTAGAATAGATTTAAATTGTTCAATTTTCCAAAATCACATTGGTTTCTCATACAGCATCTCTGTAAAGTATGTGTATTCACTCTCTGTCCTAAACGGCTTGTTGGAGCTCCTGCCCACTCTCCCTGTGCTCTGATTGGTCGAGAAGCTGACAGGCTCGTTGCTGCTCGCACACACACAGACACACACACTGCTGTGGGCTGCTGCAGGGGCAGGCAGGCTTGGCGATACAGCGAGAACAAGCAAAACTCATCCTGAGCACACACAAACACTCGCAGCCGAAGTAAAAACAATAAGTGTGACTTGATATTGAGTAAGAAAAAGGTTTATAACGCTGTGAGCATTGGTCTGCGGAGTGCATTTCTCCGCGATCCAAACTTAGTAGCCCGAAAAAACGTTTACTCATTTAAACAGTCGTGGTAGATACCTTGTTTGTTTTAAACATCATAAATACACAAGCAACAATGAATACTTAAAGGCCCAACCCAAATCTCCCGCTGGTCCAAACAATGTAGGAACAGCATCGTTCCTTCAGTGCCCTACGCTGTACATATCCGGCATGAATCGCTGAAAGGTTTTGGGAAGCGTTGTTTCGTGAAAGGCTGGCAGAGGGTGCTGCTATAGCTCTGGGCGTGGCTACTGGGTATCCCTACGTAGCGATAACCAGGAAGAAAATGAGAAATCTCCAATGAGGCGTTTTGGGGAGGTATTTTCTGTGTTACAGGGTGTACTTTCAGGGTTTTTGACTCTGTAGACCGTTTACATGCATAAAAACCTTCATAACACACAAGGGGATGGGTAATAACCGGAAAAGCATGACATGGGCCCTTTAAGTTTTCCGCACTCTTGTGGGAATATCTACGCAATGGAACGAGCTTAACTTTCGATTGCATGATATAGCCCAGCGCCACACCTTCGTCACTTGTTTGTACCATTTCCAGGTGATTTGTAATCTGTTATAGAAAAACTTTTTAGATTTCAAGAAGTGTATAAAACAAACAATGGATGTCTTTTATGAACATTTATCCATGCTGGAAGTAGATTTAGATGTTTTAGCAGTTAGATAGAGATTATTATCTAATATATTCATCCAATGAAGCATTGCATGAAGTCTGTTGATGATCAGAGGCTGTTGTTGGGGCTGCATAAACGTTTTTTTGTTGTTTTTGTAGGCAGACCATGCAGCCCAATGGTCACCAAGGTTCATGTTTTAATAGCATTTTTACAAAAAAAGCCCAGGCGAGCCTAACATGTGAAAAAATGGCTTAGACCTCAGAGAGTTAAACTTGGGCCTGCGACCATAGTTTTACTGTATTTAGTTTTGAAAATCCACAGCAGAGGTTTGTGTCGTACTACATGCGGTGTATTTTGCAATTCTCTCAGTAAAATGATCTGTGAGTCTGTTGGCTCGGACATAAACTCCGCAATACATGTAGTTTACATTTCATAAGAGGTGTAAAACCTGTGAGCATTTTAAATCGCATTTGAACAAAATGCTTATATAATCTGTAGTTGTATTTGCATTGTTGATTTAATGTGTGAACGAGGCGATATAGAGAAGGTTAAGCTGTTGTTATTATTAGGCTGTTATTTGTTATTATTGGAGTGGTAAGCAGGCCTATTGATTTGGGGAGTTAGGTGGTCCGTGAGTGTTTTTTGTTTTGGTTAAGTGCTCTATTTGAACAAGTGTGTAAAATAAAGTCCAAGGTGTCTTTTTTGAGTCTACCACTAGGAGTCGCCAGAGTCTGAAACATTCTAATGCTGCACATAGTGATTTTAACATGAGTATTGAAGACGGTTTTCTCTCTTTGTAACTGTTTTACTTATATAATAAGTCAGATAATATGGTAATTGTGTTTGTTTTCTGTATTTCCCGTTGCCCTGCAGGTGACCTGAGCATCTCTGCTGACAGATTAGGGGAGAAAAAGTCCCAGAACGACTTTGCCTTGTGGAAGGCCTCCAAGCCCGGAGAGCCTTCATGGGACTCTCCATGGGGGAAGGTAAGAGTTCAATCCTAATGCTGATGAATCACTAACACTCTGTTCCAGGAGGTAGAGCATTAGGAGCCATTTTTTTTATATTGATTATTTTTGTTTTATCTGACTAATTTAGGGAAGGCCCGGCTGGCATATTGAATGTTCGGCCATGGCTGGCTCCATCCTGGGAGAGTCCATGGACATCCACGGTGGGGGGTTTGATCTTCGATTCCCCCACCACGACAACGAGTTGGCTCAGTCCGAGGTACAAGAGCAAAGTTATTTATTAAAAATATTTGCTATTGTTTGGCTTTGAAGCTCTTTACCTTGCCCAAAGTTGTAATATTGATCCATCATGTCATAGAAGACATTACTAGAGGTATTTAAAGATGATTAACTGTGATGCATTCCATGCCACCTCCATGATCGTCATTGGTTTTTTTCCTCGCAGGCTTTCTTTGAGAATGATCACTGGGTCAGATACTTCCTGCACACTGGACACCTGACGATCGCAGGCTGCAAGATGTCAAAGTCTCTGAAGAACTTCATCACTATTAAAGACGCCCTGGCAAAGAACACAGGTGACTGCTCAGCTCAGCTTGTTGCCATTAGTGTAAGAGGAAAGTGTCCTTATTGAAATGAATCCATCTACCATGTAAAGTGTAGCTCAGATTCAGTTTTATGTCACACTTCCATTTCAGTTTCAACAAAAACTCTTCAACCATTTCATCAAAACAGTCTAGAAGAATCAAATGAACTGTCACTCGATCTTGTTCTTCGGCCAGATGTGATATGTTTTCCTCTTTCCGCCCTCCTTCAGCCCGTCAGCTCCGTCTGGCTTTCTTGATGCATTCCTGGAAAGACACCCTGGACTACTCATCCAACACCATGGAGTCAGCCGTGCAGTACGAGAAGTTCATGAATGTAAGCTGACGATATAACAAACCATCTGGCTTTTTAGTGCAGGGGTGGTATGAATCCTATTATGAATCTGTTGTTTTGTGCTCGTTTTAATTACCAGGAGTTCTTCCTGACTGTGAAAGACATCATGCGCGCTCCTACTGATATCACCGGGCGATTTGAGAAGTGGGAGGCAGCAGAGGTGGAGCTCAACAACAGGTAAGAGAGAAAAGATTGAGCCATCTGAATTCTTTAAAATATATTATGCAGAAGCCCTTCTTGATAGCTTAATGGCTCAGCACTTATTTGCACATTTAAACCACTAGAAACACACATCACAACTAAAAGCTAAATGGCTACTTGTTTGGTCCAGTTTCTACGACAGGAAGTCTGCCGTCCATGAGGCTCTGTGTGACAACATGGACACGCGCACCGCCATGGAGGAGATGAGAGTGCTGGTCGGCCAGAGCAACAGCTACATCGCCAGCAGGAAGAGCGCCACGCTGAGGCCCAACCGCATGCTGATGGAGAGCATCGCTGCCTACCTCACCAGCATACTGAAGGTGGGAACATGTAAAGTAGCAAACAATGTTCATCAAGGTTCATGTGTTAAATTAAGATGTATTGTGCTGTATTGCATTGGCAGTGAAAGCGGTTTGAACTCACTGACATGAGACTTTTGTCATTTAGGTATTCGGTGCCATCGAAGGATCAGAGCCCATCGGTTTCCCAGTGGGACAAAGTCAGAACGTTGGTGTAAGTAGAAACTTTTTTTCAGTTTTCGCTGTGAGAAATGTGATACATTTGAATGCTTATTGTTCAAATTATGGAAGCTCCGATCGCCAATTTTGGGGCCGGAATCAGTATCGGCTGATACCGATCGCCGATCCGATCGAGTGGGCGGGGCCTATGGGGATCTTCCATTTAAAGTGATGTTTAAAACTCAGTTAATGAGGCTCATTCACTGGCGCTTCCACAAACAACAACCAACATAATTAATACATTCAAATGAAGTACATTATTCAAGTTTACATTAACCTTGGATAATAACACGGGAGAAATTAGCGGAAGCGTTCTCTTTTCCTCTCTCTCTCTCTCTCTCTCCTGACAGCCCGTCAGTATTTCGTGCAGCTCGCTGATCCAGTAATGAGTGACCCGACAGTGAAGAATAAATATATTTATAACTAGTTTAGCTTGTTCCAGAGGTAGATAAAATAGCCAAGTGTGTTAGGTCTAACTCTTAGTGTGTGTTTTGCTCCGCTCACCGGTCCGTCACAGCGGGTGGAGCTGCTGGATTTCTGCTTCACACACGTTGCATACCGCTATTTTCGGAGCATCCCTAGTTAAAATGTAGCTCTGTTTACTGTGAGTAAAACAAATGTTTTCACAGATTGTTACTGCCCCTATAGTAGTACTATAGTAACTTACATTGAAATACTGTCTTTGCTTTGTGTGGCAGCTGGAGACCACAGTGATGCCGTACCTCTCAGTGTTGTCAAACTTCAGAGAGGAAGTCCGTAAAATAGCAAGAGACAAGAAAGGTAAGAACATGTTTTATACATTTGAGAGTCCAACAAATGCTAATAGTTCTGTTCTCCAAGAGTTTAAACATATTTACCTTCCTCTTCAGAGTCTAATTAAAGTCCATTGTTTTATCTCATCTAGTGATGGAGTTGCTACAACTGTGTGATGTTGTCCGAGACGATACGTTACCGGAGCTGGGGGTCCGTCTGGAGGATCATGAAGGTGATGGAGCTGTTAACTTAAATATTCTGCCCTGTAGAACAAAAAGGAGAAGAAAGTATGCAAGCATTACCCAGTCACTTATCATTATAAAAACATTACTGAGGATTATTTATCAGAAATCTTATTGTGTCATTATCTTGCAAATGCCCAATAGTCAACCCAACAATATTGTTGCAACATTGATTTAGTATTATTCGGTCAAATACATGTTTTGAGATATTAGATTTGTTTCTATCCCTGGTTAACACTGGGATGGGATGGGTGTGAGAGTGATGAGTGATGAACAGTGGCTGTGTTACAGGTCTGCCCACAGTGGTGAAACTGGTGGACAAGGAGACCTTGCTGAAGGAGCGAGAGGAGAAGAAACAGGTGAGCGATGAGATGCCCTCTTTCATTGTATCCGCATTAATCATGTAATCACATAGCGACATTAGCTGTAAACCTCAATCCGTAAGATAACGTAAAAAAGTCAAATAAATGAAGTGGAGATTAATATCGGCTTCCAAAATGTTAGAAGTTTAAAGTATCACAAAATTAAAATACTGAGGTAAAGTACTAGTCCCTCAAAAGTACTTATAGGTCGACTTCCGGTGACGTCATGAGAGAAGCAGCAGCTTAGAAGTGGAGCTCCGCCAGACTATACACAAAAATAGAGACAACTAGTAATATACAGTCGCAAGAAAAAGTATGTGAACCCTTTGGAATTACCTGGATTTCTGCATAAGTTGGTCATAAAATGGAGGAAGCCACTGCTGTCCAGAAAAAACATTGCTGTTAGTTTGAAGTTTGCAAAAGAGCACCTGGATGTTCCACAGCACTACTGGCAAAATAATCTGTGGACAGATGAAACCAAAGTTGAGTTGTTTGGAAGGAACACACAACGCTATGTGTGAAGAAAAAAAGGCACAGTACACCAACATCAAAACCTCATCCCAACTGTGAAGTATGGTGGAGGGAGCATCATAGTTTGGGGCTGCTTTGCTGCCTCAGGGCCTGGACAGATTGCCATCATCGACGGAAAAATGAATTCTCAAGTTTATCAAGACATTTTGCTGGGGAACTTAAGGCCATCTGTCCACCAATTGAAGCTCAACAGAAGATGGGTGAAGCAACAGGACAACGACCCAAAGCACAGAAGTAAATCAACAACAGAATGGCTTCAACAGAAGAAAATAGGCCTTCTGGAGTGGCCCAGTCAGAGTCCTGACCTCAACCCAATTGAGATGCTGTGGCATGACCTCAAGAGAGCGATTCACACCAGACATCCCAAGAATATTGCTGAACTGAAACAGTTTTGTAAAGAGGAATGGTCCAAAATTCCTCCTGACCATTGTGCAGGTCTGATATGCAACTATAGGAAACGTTTGGTTGAGGTTATTGCTGCCAATGGAGGGTCAACCAGTTATTAAATCCAAGGGTTCACATACTTTTTCCACCCTGCACTGTGAATGTTTACATGGTGTGTTCAATAAAAACATAAAAACATATAATTGTTTGTGTGGTTTTAGCTTAAGCAGACTGTGTTTGTCTATTGTTGTGACTTAGATGAAGATCAGAACACATTTTATGACCAATTTATGCAGAAATCCAGGTAGTTCCAAAGGGTTCACATACTTTTTCTTGCAACTGTATATTACCGGAGCCAGGACAACTGGTGATAGCTGGGTTGGTTGGGATGTTCAGCAGAGCAGAGAAAGAGAGAAAGTCCTATTACTGGCTATCTTTTGAATCTGAAAAGTATTGGGACTGCATGTCTAATTAAAGGCCATTACCTGAACTGCAGTGTTGGCAATTTAAAAGTTCTTATAGGGTTCATTCTTATCTGGATAACATTAGAAATCAGCTTTTCACAAAGTAAACTTGCCCCTATGGAAATTGTTTTATTTATAAGTTGTTATTATAAAAAAGACATGGTCATGATGTATCTGCCCTGCTCTCATACTTGCTCCTAACTGCAAATGATGTGTGTACGATGGGACAAAGGGTGGAATTACTCGCCCCAGGAAGGCATTATTCTTGAGCCTTGTAACACTAAAACAATCCTTCACCTTGATGTCACCTATAGGGAGTTGGGGGTGGAGGCATGACGTAATTCCTCCATGAAGTGACAGATAGGCCAGTCTGCAGCGTGGACACACTCGACTGCAGCCCGCTGCTGAACGCCTGAGTTTCCACATCCTCTGGGGATATTGAGCTGCTTTTCCTGTGACATGCTCGATGCACGCGGTGGGCAGAGGGGGGGTGTCGAATCCAGAGCATGGGAAACAAATTAGCGAGGCTGCAACGTGCTCTGACCACAGCCTGTCATAGGGAGACATTGGGCCCAGGCACGGGCCAGCAGTCATTATCATAAATCAATAAAGTCCAAGCACACTCACCAGTAACACTAGCCCCACTATACAAAGAGTATTTTAATCATAGCGCCTGGTGTTATGTCCCTTTAAAACCTTAGCACTGGGCTAATACTCTCAATAATGTTAAACGAATGTGCTTAAAATGGTCTTGAACAATCAACAGCAATGAGAAGGCACAGTATTGAACGTGAAATTGGATGACACAACGCCCCATCCATCAATTAGATGAGACTGGACAAAATAGATTGGAAGAAAATGTGCGATCGTAAGCAGTATATGCTGGAAGTAACAAACACTAAACAAACATGTTTGAATGGCACAATAAAATCAACTTATTGAGGAAGTAAAGCATGAATACAGAATACTATCCAACCTATACATCCGTAAAGTAAAAGAGCTAGTCATTGCAGAATCTGTATAGCTCTTGCGCATAGTATTATGTACATGCAATATAAGCTTCTAAATATCAGCATAGCTAGTTTATACATTATTAATAGTGCTGTACAATACAGTCTATACATGATACACTATTGAGTGTCCTGCTTTACCTAATGACTAAGAATAAGAATGACTAAGAAGTAGGAACTGAAATGAGCTGAAACAGTCGATTCATTGATAAGGAGACAGAAAATGAAGGGCTGAACATTTATACTCTGAATTTTGGACAACAGTGCATTGTGTGTATACTGCATTTTGTACCTCGTAGAACATTTGCATTAAAAGAAAGAAAACCTTTTGAAATGTTGCAGGATACCATTCAAACCAGGGACCCAGTCTTTTAAACATTGCTGAAGAGCACTACCTGTGTTCAGTACCCCTATATAAACCCACAAAACTGTAACTATTTGAATAGCTAATCATGAAAAAAAGGTCCAGCTTCTTAATTTGTGAATACTTGTTGGATTTATTCATCCTCCATGTTGTTTATTATTCATTCAGGTATAAGGTTTTTTATAAAACGGAC